GCTGGCCCGCAGGGGTGGGGGCCGATGTGAAAACCCAGACCTGAAGGGGCTGGGGGTGGGGGGCGGAATCCAGACCCCGAACTGAGGAACAGGGCTGGGGCTGCTGTGTGCAACTGTGCTGTAGAAATGGAACAGCTGGGGGGCAGGAGAAAGACACAGTGGAAGAGGAGACTCCAGCAGGAAAATGAGCCGGTGGAGGGAAATGAATGAGTGATTGAATGAGGGATTTAAAAAAAAAAAAACAAAAAACCAACAACCAACAACCCTGGAGCTCTGTGCTAATTGCACTTGACAGCCGGTGTGAAAGGGCGGGAGGGGCCTCCTCCCTCACCTCAGCACTCACCCGCAGGCTGTTGCGGGTGGATGGCTCTGGCTCCAAACTGCTAGGGCCCACTCTAGCTGTTTCCGTCCTGATTTAAATAAGCTCCCCTCCTCCAAAGGGCTTTGTGGGAGTAGCTTGGCTTTTTTGTGATTTTTTTTTTGTCTGCCAAAATGGGTTATGTTGGCTGAATCTGTTTGACAGACAGGCACATTGCTGTCTCCTCTCCAGTCCTGGGAGAACCAGACCATCCTGGCTGTTTGGTTGCTGAGGCCAGTTCTGCAGCAGGGCTGGACAACACCCTGAGGACCGAAGCAGTGGGTGGTTAAGGCAAGCGGCAGAGTCCCACCCCATGGAGAGGGTTACTGCTTGTGTGCCCCTCTCTGCTGGTTTTGAGTAAATGCCTGCTCCCCCAAGAGGGCTCCTAATGGGGAGAGAGATGTGAGCAGGGCATCCACAGGCATGTTGGTGGCAGATGGGGCCAGGCCATGGACCTGCGATCATTCTGTGAGCTGTGTTATCTTGGAAGAGTCATTTAACTTCTCTGTGCCTCAGTGCGCTCGTCTGAGAAGATGATAGCACCTCCTGGAGCTGTTCGGGGGATTCTCCCAGAGTGCTAGGTCTGGGGTCTGATAAGTAGTCAGTCTGCTGGGGAGAAGGCGCGCTTTTGTGAAGCTAGAGGGGGAAGCTATTTCAGGGGAGTGGACACATCTGAGGCAACTGAGACAGGACTATGCAAGGCCCCTGCTGGGCACAGCCAGTGAGGAACACAGGAACCAGAATAATGGGGTTCGTGTCTTGTCTCTTGGCAGGCTGTAGGCCGGTGGAAATTGCTGCAGTGTGCTCCCCTGCCCCATGGGGTCACAGAACTCTTGCCCGTCCCATCACCGAGGAGGCGTCACTCATCAGAGCTCAGTATGGGGAGGCTCAGCCCACCCGAGTGGCTGGATGCTCTGTTGTGAGGGAGAGGAAGTCGCTGAAGTGCCAGAGGCTCCAGCACAAGGCAGAGCTGCGATCTGAGCCCCAACCCAGTCTCCCAGACCTGGCTATGTGTCCTCCACATTTGAAAACAAAAAAAACCAACACCCATTTATATGAGCCAGGAAGACCTAAGCACCAGCTCCTGCGCATGCATGCTGAACCTGTGCATGTCCCACGTCACACCTCATTCCGTGTTTCCAACAACTGGACCGGGAGGCACCATTAATGTTGCCACCTCAGAGATGGGGGAGGCAGTGAAGCCACTTCCAGGAATGGGGCAGATGGACTGGCAGTAAATCTGGACAGAGGGACGGGTTGGAAGAGAGAGGACCGGGCCACGGATGGATCAGAAGCTCCAGATAGCCATAAGCGCAGGGCAACTCCGAGCTTGTTCATGCACTCAAGGCTCTGGGCCCCAACTTAGCAGGTCAGGCGTGGCGCCTAGGAGTCTGCATGCTTTTGGTAGTGCTCTACCTCTGAGCTATACCCCAGGGTCCAGGAGCTGGGCCTCCACAAGCTCCCAGAAACCCCCGCCCTGGGTGGAGAGTCCCTTGACAGTGGACACCTCCGCAGGGGATATGGGAACCACAGTGGGCTGCACTCTTCCCAGGGCTGAGGTGGGGCTGGGTGGTCAGCCCCTGAGGAGGGCATGACTTGCGCTGGGCACCTCGAGGGCATCCTGTGCTGGAGTGGAAGGTGAGCACTGGCAGAGAGCACCGTGCACCATGCAGCCCTTTATGGGGAGGAGCCATGACCCGGGCCTTGGGGTGGCTCCTCACAGACCTTTAAACAGTGAAAGAGAAAAGTGAGGGGACAAAGTCAGGGACTTCCAGGGCCAGGGAGGGAAGGTGGGGTGAGGCTCCCATTGCCTCTCTTGTGCCTTTGGTTCAGCCACTTTCCCCGAGTTCTGTCCCCGCTGTAGGACTAAGTGGCTTCTTGTGACATGCAGCCCCAGACAAGAGGTGTTACATCTCGAGGGGGGAACTGCAGTCCCTCCCACAGAGCTCACAGTGGTCTCCAGCAAAGGCACAGCTGCCTCTCCAGTCAGCGCTAACTGCCTCCTAATCATCACTCAAGCTTCTTTTTATATTTATAGTCCCTGCCTCAGGCATCAGACAGGAAAACATCCTGGACACAGTGGTGACCTGCCCTGGCTTCCAGTTCCTCCTTGTAAGAACACTAAATGCTTTACAGCGCGTCCTTGCTGGCTTCTCCAGGATGGTTCAGCATCTTCCTGCCTCTTCCCACGGATTCCTTCCCTGGGCCTGCATCTCACCACAGGGCCTTTGCACATCCTGCCCCCTTGGAATCCTAGTTGGTGAGCTTTAGGAGGAGTGGATGCATCAGCTTTTGCTTCCCATGATTTGTTGGGGTGCCGGACATGTGACACACTCCATCAATACCGGTTGATAAATATCTCCTAAGTGCCAGGCACGCCGTGGGAGATACAGGACTCATTTAGCTCTCACAGCACTGCAATATGATCAGGTGGCCCTGACAACATACGGTGCTGCGTGCTGGCGGTGTGCTAGCCTTGCTGAGATTGTGTGTCCTCGTGGCTGGGGTGGCTTGGCTCCATGAGGGTAACGTTTATCCACAGGCACCTGTGCGTGCTGGCTCTGCAGCCTCACAGGGATCTAGGGACCCTGTAGAGGGAAGCAGAGCTGCCTGGGCCCCCCATGGAGATGCTCGGATGGACATGGCCTTCCAGTATAGAGTGCCAGGGTCTACAGTGTTATTAGGACAAGAAGAAGGTCACACAAAAGGGATTCTAAAAAGGTCCCCTGACCACTCCCCAGTGAGCTGGGGAGACAGCTAGCTGTGAGCATCTGCTGGGAAGCCCCGACCCACACCCTCACTGGTACCCAACTGGCTCGGGACCCAGCCCCACTGCCAGGGCTGCAGTGGGAGGTGAGGGCAGGCCGGGTTCTCTGCGCCCTGCTCCCCTGATGCCTCCCTGTTGCACAGGGGCAGCCACACCCAGGCCCAGTGTGGGAAGTCAGGGCCACGTGGTCGTGAAACCCAGCTCTTCTGCCTCCTCTGCCTTGTTGAAAATTCTCTTACGCATCCACAGAGAACACCCCAGACTGGACAGAGTTTCTGGAGCAGGAGAAGCTGCTGGGCTCTGCTGGGGAGGATGCAGGTACCAAGGGACAGGCAGGGAGGGGTGTGTAGCCCACAGACCAGCACTGGGCCTCAGGCTTGCTCAGCCCTGCCCATAGCCATCTTGGATCAGCTGCAGATCCGGCCCTATCTTTCCAGTCTAACCGCAGCCTGAGGATTCAGCAGCGCTGAGCAGTTGCCCCTCAGTGATGAGGAGCCCGAGCTGGAATCTTAGGGCCTGGACCTCAGGCACTCAGGCGCATCTCTGAGAAACACATTGTTTTCACTTAAGAATGGAGTGCATCTCATGTTCATGGACAGAGGTCACACAGACAGCAAGTCACGCAGAGCCATGCAAGACAATCTACTTTGGTCCACCATAGTGTCTGCATGCCCACTGGGCACCCAGGTGGTAAAGAGCTGGAGCTCTTTCTACCCCAGGAGTGTGCCCTGCAGCAGGGACCAGGCAGACTCCAGGAAGCCAGCAGGGCTGATTCCTGGCCTCTCTCCATCGGCTCTTCTGCCACAAGTACCACACTGCCATGTTTTCAGAACTCAGCCAAGGGCCTCACCCCTCTCACAGGAGCCCTCCTGACTTCCCACATTCCCCTCCTGTGCTCTTTCTTTGCCTGGCCCCACCTATTAGCCTGGGGACTCCAAAGTAGAGGACCAGGGCCCCAAGAACCAGTGTGGACATTGCAGGTATCCACTGCACAAATCCCAAATGCCCAGCAGGTCAGCACTCTGATGAGTCCTGTGTGCAGAACAGACACTTTGGACAGGCAGCCGCCACCCCTCACCGGCCTCCTGCCTCCTAAAGCCAGAGTCAGAGGCCAGAGGGGACTGAGGCTGGGCTCCCTGGGAAAGAGAAGCCCTCGCTGTGGCTCAGTGTTTAGGACATGGGGTTTGGAACTATAGGCTTCCTTCCTTCCTTCCTTCCTTCCTTCCTTCCTTCCTTCCTTCCTTCCATGACATCTATTTCACAACTGTGCACTTGCTGCCCTGTACGTGTTAGGCTCTGTGTCAGGGAAGAGGACACTAAAATGAAGAAGTGTCTAATGGTGGCATAGGCCGCTGCTCCAGAGCTGCTGGGGAACATGTGCATGTGTGTGTAGTTGTGCGTGTGAACATGCCTCTGCCTTTGTTGCTCAAGAGCTGGGCAACCCCAGAACATTCATGGCCTCTCTGTGCCTCAGTTTCCTTGTGTGAGAATGGGCATAGGAAGCTATCAGGGAGGCCATGAGGAACTAAGGAGACAGTGTGCCCAGGCCTGGCCTGCAGGGATCATGGTCAGCACAGCCAGTGCGGCAGGGGAGGCTGCAGAGCCCCGGTCGCCATGTTCTAAAGCAGCTGCCATCCTGGGCTGACAGCCCAGGCCACCAGTGTCTTAGAGCAAAGGACCCTCCTGGGCTGTCCCAAGGGGTAGCTGACTCTTGGCAGGGTCAGAATAACTCCCCCAGGTGTCTGATCACCACAGACCTGGTGGTGTGGAGGTCATTTTCACCTCAGTCTGGGTGCACCACAGCAAGCCCCACTATGGATCAATAAGACAGAACCAGTGACACAGCACCGTTTCACCACTGGTCACCTCGCTTACCCCACAGGGCCATGAAGACAGAGAAGAAGACGGTGGCTGGGTTGTCAAAGAGATGGCTAGCACGGGCTGTGGCACAAGCTGAGCTCATCTTCCAGTAGCTGCAGGTCTTGTCACAGAGGGGGCACATGGTGATGTTGTACCTCTGGTCACACATCTCCATGCTGCAAGAGAAGGGTGGCCCTCAGTCCCTGTCACTTGGATGGGATACCTCCTGGGGCCATGCTGGAGTGACAAAGGCCCCTAGTTCACAGCACAGCAGAGACAGTGAGGCACATCAGCTGGCTTTAGTCACTCTTGTCCCCCTGTGCTGCCCAGGACCAGATTCATAGATGTGACACCATGCTGTCCCCAACCTGAGCTTTGGCCACAGGACCCGAGGTTTAGTGCGAGGCCCTGAGCTCGCTGCCTTAAAATCCTTCATGGCGTCTGAGTAAGGGCCCCGTGATATCATTTTGCAGGGGTCCTGGGAATCTGTAACTGACTCTGTTTGTGACATATTCAGGCCCTCCTGACACAGGAGGGAAGCTGAGTGCTTCTTCCAGGCTGACCCCAGGTGGTGACGCTCACAGTCTGTGCCTTGCCTGCCATGAGCCAAGCATCCCCACCAACCTCCCTCTCATCACTGGGCACCATTGTAACTGAGCCAAGGAACTAGTTTAGATCTCTGCATGGATATCACGTAGCTGGGTGCTGGGACATGGAGGGAGGCAGACAATGAAAGCCAGTGAGAGCCCCGATGCTTGCGGAACCCTTACAGCAGGACAGGCGCTGGGCTAAGCACTGCCAGGTAGCAGCTCCCTTTGTTCAGGTAGGTAGCTGCCCTGTGGTGCAACCTGGGCGTCCAGCCATGATCACCACTGGGCGTCCTAGGCTCTCAGGTGGCACAGAAAGGGTGCTGGGATGGAAGGCAGATGTCTTCAAGATGTCCAGGCTGAGAAGACTCAGCCATCCAGGGGGCAGCCACTCACAGCGTGCAGGGCGGGGAGCTGCATGAGACCTGAAGCCCTGTTCAGGCACCCTCCTATGAGGCGGAAAGGCCACAAGGGGTGAACAGGAGCACTGAGGACCACAGTACTCTACTACAACCCCACCTTTGCAGATAGGGAGAGGAGCCCAGAGAGGGAAAGGAATTTCCTCAGAGCCAACAGCACAACGGGATTTGAACCCTGGTCTTTGATTCATCAAGGCCTATGCACAGAATTGCTCTTGGGGCCACAGAGGTTCCCTGCTGAGGCCAGGTGGCTGGGCTAGGGGTGCTTAGCAGGCTGTCCTATAGTCTGTCCCTTTGGAAAGTCCTCTAGCTTCCAACTTGGCCTTTCTTCCTGGAAAACGAGGAAGAGGGGCCAGAATACGGCCCTTCCAACCGTGGCCTTCCCTCAACTCTCCTTCCTGTGAGCTTGGATCAGATTCTGACCTATAAATAGCTGCTCAGGCAGGAGGCTCATTCCCAGGGGTTAGACAGTCATCTGGGACACAGCCAAAGTGGGTGCTGTTTTGTCTTTTTAGATTTCTGGATATGCATATACTTATTCCAGAATCATACCCCACCAGTGCCTGGCAGCTGGGGTTTAGAAACATCTGCCACCAGCTCTGGGGGATGCTGCTGCTCAGTACCCACCAAGGAGGGCATCCTGGTTCAGCTCTGATCCTTTAGCTGCTTCTCCGCATGTCTATTTCAGAATGGCATGTGTGCTACACTGCGCTGCTCAGAGCAGTGTCCGACAGGGAAAAGGTGGAGGAAAGGCTAACAGCAGCTAAGGTCACTGCCCTGGAGTGCTGGGGGAGGTGGGCGTCCAAGCACATCTGCGTGCATGTGCCTGGGAGGAGACGGGGCAGGTAGCAGGCAAGACAGCCAGCGGGAGAAGTGTGCTCCAGTGGGTCAGGCAGGTGCCTCTTAACTTCTACTCCTCAGTTTCCCTGTCTGCCGGATGGTGGTGCTGACAGCAACATCTGGGTTGTCAGGAGGATGAAACAAACCAACCCGCGTGCCTGGCATGTTCAGGAGATCTCTGATGTCCCGAACTCCTCCTGCATGGTGGAAGAAAGGCAACCCAAAAGGACTGCCTTGTTGGGGGTGGGGCAGAGGCCTGACGGCCTCTCCCTCCCTGCCTCCGCTTCCAATGCAAACACTACCAGCCAGACAATAAGCCTCTGCCTGCTGTTTTTAACTCAGCCAACATAAAGACAAGGAGAGTGAAGGTCTATTCTTCAGGGAAGGTAGGAGGAGCAATGCACAGCAAGAAGACACCACACTGGTTGCTGGCCTTCCTGTTGGATGGATGCTGGGGGGACCAGATGTCTGTTTCTATACAAAATTCTGACCAGGCAGTGCTGGGGGTTGGGACAGGCTGGGCCCTGGCTTTGTCTCTGGCACCAACTGCTGTCTGAGCGTCTGACCATGTGACAGAAGGCGGCAGAACTGGCACTGTCAAGAGGATCCTGGTGGCCTTTCTCAGGAGCCCACACCCTGGGCTGGCAGGGCTTCCTCCCCTCAGGAGGGAGGCAGATGGGGGCTCCCCGGATGAATTCCGCTTGCCATTTCCCTCAGTCTTCGAGCTCTGTGGCAAAGCCAGCCTTAACCTCCCCTCTGGGTCTGGCCTTTGATTTTTACCCGTAAGCAAACCTAGGGTGCAAGGACCTCACACCACACGAGCAAACAACGGGACAAGCTTTCTCCTGCGTAGGACCAAAATAGCACTTGATGGGGCTGCGCCAGAGGCCTGTGGAGCTTTGATTCTGGGTGGGTGAAATATTTGAGGTGTTATTCATGTCCTAAATCATTTAAACAAAAACTGACCGGATATAGTTCTACTGGACGGCTAAGAACCAGCTTCTCCAGTGCAAGGACTCACTGGCTCTGTACTGACCCAAACTAGTAACAAATACTCCAAACTATGGCGCCACTTTGGAGATACTTGGCGGGACCGCAACAAAAGTCCCCGAGCAGCTGTCTTAGGACTCTTCGGAGACCGTGACCTCTGCCAGACAGGGCTGGCTCAGATTCTCCGACAGGGTCTCGGGTCCCTGGCACAGCGATGTACACATGGAAGGTACCAGATGAACATCAGTGCCTGCTGTTTCGCAAGGCATCCCCGACAGCTCGGGGCCCAAGTACGCGCACATGCATGCACGTATACGCACGCATGCACTCACGCACGCACCCAGGGCTCCTCAGGTTAGCAGCCGCTGATGGAGAGCAGCGCCGAGGGCGAGGTGGACTTGGAGAGAACAGCAGTCATGAATGAGCCGGCTATTTTCTGAGGTCTTGGCTATTTCGTGGAGCCCCTGCTGTATGACCTGACCCCAAATAACTGGCAGAAGGCACATGGGGTCTCCTTACTAAGAGCTGATGGACTACATGGCGCTGTTTGAGGCTGCCCATGAGAGGCTCTGGGGCCCTGGGTATGATGGAAGCGGGTGCCACTCGGCAGGCTGGGCAGGTGGAGATGGCCTTGCCTACACCCCAGCCTGCACCAAGCTCCCCACCATCGGTCTCTCTTCTGGACTGCATGATAGCTCAAGGGGTTCTCTTATCATATAATGAAGAAACATCACATAGATCAGGCAAACAACAACAGTCACTTCAAAGCATGAAAATGGGTCTGGTATTCATTTTCTATCTTTCCCTGGACATAAAACACACAACACCCTTGGATGACCATGCCCAACACATGGATGCCTATGCAAGCACTTCATTCTGACAGCTTGTGGCCCAGCATAGGGTTTCTCTGGAGGCTCGGCATGTGCACAGGAGGTGGCTGAAGGCCAGCGTCCTGATGGATTACGTCCCTGCAGTAAGGAAAGTGGCTCTGGAGCAGGAAGGGGGTGTGAGCCAAGTGGAGGGGCTGCTGCCTACCTGGGGATGTTCTGGTCCACCGTGGCGCATCCGTACAAGAAGACGATGATTCCCACGATGGAGGCAGGGATGAGCATCTGGGTGTATGCGCCCAGCCAGGCGAAGTACAGGCCAATCTTCTCCCCAAAATACTTTCTACACCCAGAGCAAAGCCAGAGACATGCTTACTATTATTCCAAGCCATGGGGAAAACCATGTCACCTGCCCTCCCTGGCAAGGAACAACTCAAATTGGTGCCACAGCTTCTGTTGCCCAAGAAGCAGAGAATGGGGCTCCAGGACGCCTCATCAGGTGTGGGGTGCTGTCTGCCTTTCCTATACATCCCCACCCTGATTCTCCTGTGCCCTGGGAAGGTGGGTGCTCCTCCACCTGTGATGCTAGTGGCACATGTCCCTGAGGCTGTTGGCCCTGCTTGGGGTAAGGACTGGAATGAACCTTGGCATGGAGCTACCAAGAAAGCCAGTCACTCCTTGTACTAAGCACTTTGGCACCTCTGTGGCTTACATGGATTTCTAGGAGCCAAACACTGGTCTGCAAGTCCCCACAGGACGCATCGCACAAGCTGGCAGCCCTCCATCTGCCTCGTGGGAAGGGAGGTGGTCCTAGATTGCTCCCAAACCCTGGCAAACCCCAAGACAGCTCTTTTCTTCCCCTCCACTACACCACGATGCCAGGGCCAGGCCGGACGGCAGACTGACTGGGAGACAGTGAATGTGACGGAAAGTATCCGTCTCCCAGTAACTGCGAATAAACACTGCCCAGACCCTCCCACTCAGCCTTCGAGTCCCAACAGGTCCCTGGGGAGCTGAATAGTCACAGTGGTTGAAACACACAGGGCCTCTACCTGATTGACATTTTACCAGGGACCTGCTTCTCGCTCTCTGAGATGCCTGGCTGGATGGGCCCCACTCACCTGACCAGGTCGATGGGCTGGTACTTATAGAAGACCCCGTAACTTGCCCATTCCTCGTACAGAAGCTGGAGGGAAGAAGTGTGAGGAGCTGGTGACAGGGTCCTATGCTGAGGCTGCTCCCCTCAGAGCGCAGTGGTGCTGTGGCCATTGCCACATCACTCATTCATTCAGCAAACACTTGGTGAGAGCGGGCTGTGTGCTGGTCAGAGTGAGCCTGCACATCCAGGTGAAGGTGGGGGTGGGGAAGGTGCTCCTGGCAGATGGAGGAATCTCAGCTCTTTGCAATGTGACCTGAAGGGCCTGTCATCGCCAGGCTTTCTCTTTGGGTTTTTCAGTTGCACTGGTCAGATACCAAATCATTATAAAGGATGCGAAACCATCATGGTTTTGAATGGAGACATATCAATGGCAAAAAAAGAAAAAAAGAAAAAAAAAACTCTCACGGGATGCAAAGATAGCTGGAGGTCTATCTCTGGAGATGGGCTGCCTGATTAACAGCGTTGGTGGCATAAATGAAAGTGACACACACCCTGCCACCCCCTTAGGCTCTGGCAGGGACAGTAATGAGCTTGGAGGATTGGAAGCCTTGTGTGAACATGCAGAGGTATCCTGAGAATGACACTGTGCCAGGACTGCTGGGTAAGAGGACCCCTCCCCATATGTGGCAGTTACAGAGTCCGAGGGGCCATGAGGAGGCAGAGGGCCCCAGGGGCCATGGTTACCCCAGGCCCAGGGCTGCTGTCCTCTGCCCAACTCTGAACTTGTTCGCAGAGCACAGCTACCATCCAAATGCACAGTCTGAGGTTCTGGCATGGTGAGGGCCCTCCTGATTTCTTTCCAAGCCCCCGGAGGGTGGCGCTGGGTAGCAGACTGTCTCCAAAGCCTGGGACATCGGAGCAGCTCATTTGGATAACATCTGAGATCCCAAATGACAAATAGGGAGAGGTCCCTATGCACCAAACCTGCCCCTCCCTGAATGTGCACCTATGAATGGCTGTTCCTGAAATCCACCAGTGGGCCGTGTGCCACGGCACGGGACTTGGAGCTGCAGCCACACCCACAGCCCAGTCCTTGAGCCAGGTTGCACCAGGGAGCAGGTGGCAGAGGCCGGACTCCCCCCACCCCCTGAAGTGAAGGTGGGGGCGCCATAGATGTGGATGAACTGGGCGGGGTGGAAGAGAAGCTCAGAGCTGTCCTTGGGAACTGCCACCTGCAGGGAGAGACATCCAGGCTGTGTGCCAGCTGCACACACCTTACCAGGGACTTGTCCTCCCTCTCATTTGGATACTTCCTCAGTCAGCCCTTCCCTGATGGAATCAGGAGCTGATGGCAGGAGGCAATGCTGGGATGGCCACATGGACTCACTACAGGTCCCTGCCTCTTCACTCTGCATGTGTCCTTTCTCCCAGATGTTTAAATATTTTTTTAATAAAAAATATTTTTTAACATTGAAAGAGGGTCTCACTAAGTTGCTAAATTTCCTAGGCTGGGTTTAAGAGTGCAATCCTCCCGCATCAGCCTCCCAGAAGTAGTGTGCTCGGCAACACTGAAATTTAAAACATGGCAAGGGGTGGGTCTCCTAGAATCAGATCTCCTATGGGGACACAAGAACTTCAAAAGCCCTGGCCTCATGTGACTGTTTGGAGATAGGACCCTTGGGAGATGAGCAGGATTGAATCAAGGGTCCTGATCCTAGATCAGTGGCCTTATTAGAGGAAGAGACCCAAGAGATCTTTCTCCTTCTATATGAGGACCAGGCCAGAAGGCAACTGTCTGCAAGCAGGGACTGAGTGGGCGAGTACCTTGACCCTGGACTTCTGGTGCTACTTGGCCCCTGGAGCCTGAGCTGACTAGGACACTCTCCTTCACTGACTTCGAAGATCCCAAGGGCCGGCCAAATAGCTCAGTGGATTAAAGCGCCTGTAAGCAGGCACACGGGCCATGGATTTGATGCCCCTGCCTACCTTGCCAGCCCCACCCCTGGAAACCGTTCAGATGGCAATTGAGACTGGGTGTAGTGGTGCATGCCTGTAATCCCAGCCAGCAACTCCAGGACCCATAAGCAGCTTGTGGGTGGCCCTGGCTCCAAGTGTGAAGCGGAACCCAGGAATGGACCCTGCAAAGTTTCTCCTTGTCCGGGGCTCCTTCCAGGGCTCTTAGAAGTAACATGCTAGTGAGCCCAAGTGCTGTGTTTCATCCAAAGTCGATACACATGCCCCGAAGAAGCAGGGAAGAAAATTACTTAAAAGAGCAAAATACATTTTAGTACATTATGAGGGAACTTCACTGTGAAAACCCTCAGCTTTGCCCTGCTTGAATCTTTCCCTGAGTGGCTTTCTATGTAACTCCTGACCACAGTGGACTTTTGTTCCTGCAAGAAGAGAATTTCCAACACCCTGTGCTCTCAGTGTGCAGAAATCAAACATTGCTACCCAGGAAGAAATGCAAGGACCTGTGTGAGCCTCAACGCACAGAGGGAGGAGCCAGACAGTGGGGTGGGTGGGCTGAGAACCGGCTAGTGGGGGCCCTTGCATCTGGAGGGATCCAGCTGAGCTCTCTGAGCCCCACATTCTGGGGCAGGTTGGTCTGTGCACTACTGCAGGCCTGCACAGGTGTGTGATGTTGGTCTCTGGACAGAGGACCAGGCATATCTGTTCCTTCCCATCCACGGTGACTGGGATGGGGCCTGGGGTGGGTCATGGGTTTTCAATGAGCAGCTACTGAATGAAAGGCTGCTGGCTCTCAGCAGCTGTAGGAGACTAGGCTGAGGTCCCAGGGAGAGGCTTGTGGGGTCATAGAAGACTTTCTCCAGGTGGGCACAGAGGCCTGCTCTGCCCCTTGTTGGACTGGGCAGCTATAGGACCCTGGGGTCTCAGCTGTCCCTGCTGTATGGGGCCCAGGCTAGCCCAGTCTCCTACAGCTTGGGAAGGAGGAATCACAACTGCCCAGCGGGACTTCTGCGCAGGCACATACATCCCTGGGTGAGGGCCTGCTCACAAGCTTAGTTCAGGCAGGCAGAACACGCCTGAGGCTCACGATCCCAAAGGAGGACTGATGAGGCAGCCTCAGCCAGACCTGCCTCTTGCCTGCTCATCCCCAGCCAACCTCCATCTGTGTGCAGAAACTGTGCTTGCTGCACTTTCCTTTGGTCTTGCAAGAAACCTGGCATCAGGCATCTGGGGCTCCTGATTCGGACAGGAGTAGTAATAGAGAAACCTCAGCCTTGTGCTTCAAGGCAGTGGCAACAAATTCAGAACCAAGTCGCTTAAAGTATAGCCTTCTGGGAGAACAAGACATTCTCCAGACTCTGAGCTAGGTCACAACATTTATCTGATCCTCCCTGCTTCCCTCCCTCCCCTGTTTCATCCATCACTATCTATCCATACATCCATCTATCCACTCAACTACCCATTCATCCATCCATCCACCATTAACCTTGAAACTATCCCATGGACTGGGGCCCTGTACTCCTTGCTGGGGCATAAAATTAATTGGGGTAGGCATACTCCAAGTAGAGGATAACAGCTGGGCCTGGCACACAGAAAAAGTCAGTAAATATCTCTTGCATAAGTACCTGCCTCAGATGTGCTGTTGATGTGACCATCAGCTAAGCCATCTTGAGATTTAAAAAGGCAGCCAGCATGGCTGGAGGTTGGGAAGAGGGCCCAGCTTAGGATCAAGGGGTCAGAGGACTGAAGCCAGCCAATGGGAGGCGGGGCTGATGTCCACAGAAGAAATATTTTTAGGTGGAGGAAGGGCATTAGCCAAGTGGCAGGGGCACCAGGGAACTGAGGGGGATGGATTCTGAGGCCAGAGTTGGCCAGGACAGGTCATGGCAAGGACTGTGCTTCTCCAACAGCATTGGATGGGGGAGTTTGACAAGTCACAGGGTCTCAAATGCCAGATGTTACACTAAAAATAACCAAATATGTCATTTTTGTCCTCAATCAGATAGCATCTTCAGCTGGGTTCCCGGGGCAGGCAAGTTGTAGCAAGCATCAAAGATTTAAAAACACTGTGGGGGATGGAGAGAGGCTGAACTCGAAGGACATTCCATCCACAGAGGTTCCTGGGCTCTGGGAGCCGGGACAAGGCCATCATTGTAAAGCACTCCAGGGAGCTGCTTCTCCTTCCACCTGCTGGCAGGCAATCTAGGAGGGGACAGAGGCAGTGCCAGCGGGGGCCTGGGAGAGCTGTCCAGAGGGAGGGTTCTTTGGGGCACAGGGAGTGGCATATGTGGGTGCTGGCTGCAGGCTGCTGCTGGGTGTGGGCGTAAGGGCAGGAGGCAGAGAAGAACCTTCCTGAATGAATGTCAGGGGCAGGAGAAGCCAAGGTCTGAGGATGGGAGGGTGAACGTTCATGCGGGCAGCTTTCTAGGTGCTGAAGAGTGTAACCGAGCACTGGGGAGATGAGGACAACAACTGCTAAAGAACAGGATCACTTAGTGTCTCCCAAAGAATGTCCCTTGGAACACTGGCTCTGTGACTTCCCATTCAAAAAGACCCCAGAGCAGACAAGTTAGAGGACTGGCTTGCATGCCACTGGGCAGGTTTCCACAGGGTGCTGCTGGGGCTGGGGCTCTCTGTGCCCCTGGCCACTGTGGGTCCCAAGTTTGTTCACCTGGAGCACTGTGGGACTGGGCCAGAGGCCTTCCAGGACCGCTACCATCACAACCACGGTTCAGACACGCTGAAGGTAGGGTTTCTTTCACCTGGCTGGGCTTGGTGGAGAAAGGACTGTGGAAGGAGCAGGCTCTGAGGATTCTTTTCCTCTCACACAGTAACAATCTCCTGCTAAGTGTGAAGGTTGAGACTTTTCTCCCCAAAAATGGGTGAGAGTGTGAGAGAGAGAGAGAGCAATGGTCCTCTGTGGGGCCACACTCAAAACCTAGACCAAGCAACCCAAGAGAGACCAGGCAGGCAAAAAGTCAGGTTCCTGCTCCACCCAGCCCCCAGCCCACTGCAGCCCACGACCCAAGGGCTGCTCCATGGCAACTTACCTTCCTGTCGTTGAACTCAACATTGTCCCCCTCGTAGTCTCCCTGTGAACAAGACCAAAGGGGAGCTCTTACTGTGCCATGTGGCTGCCCAAAAGCTCATATTCAGAGCATTTCAAGAGCCCTTTGGGCGCCTTCATCGACACAGAGATTGCAACAAGCCTGGGTCAAGATTTCACACAGTGGGAGAAACAGGTGTCCTTTGTCAGAATGTGCTACCCAAGTCCTGTTGTTGTCTGTCCACCATCAGGATGGCTGGAGCCACCCTCCTTTCTGGATGGGCGGGGAGGGGTCCAGAAGACCTCCGGGGAAGCCACAGCCTTGGGAAGAAAGGGGGCTCCTCAGGACAGGAAGAATTGCCCAATCATGGGAACCTAGATTCTGCCCTGAGAGGACATCCTGTGCCTTGTTCCAAGCCCCGCCCAGGTGGCGTCCCCTCCTTTTATCAAGTGTCCCACTTTATGTGATCACTGTATATTTGATCCAGTGCACCCAGCACATAGCTAAGTTTGACTCACTTCCAGGTCTAAGTTCAAAGGAAAAGAAGGCAAAGGTTGAAAGAGAGCCCAGATGTGAACCTTTGATAGAAATCACTAAGGAGGAGCAGGAAGAGAGAGGTTCCGTGCAGTGTGAATGTAGCTAGACCAGCTCACTGGTCTTGATAATCACTCAGCATATACAGCTCTGGGCCTCTTGGGGGGTCATCTACCTGGGGTCCTCTCCATTCACTAGCAGCTTTCATGGCCCTAATAACCCCTCTGAGGTGGGGAAGACTTGGCCATGTACCCAAACAAGACACAACGTTATGTCTCTGAGTCAAGTGTTCTGAAAATAGTAAGGCCTGCTGCCCCCTACGTCCTTTGGGCACATCCCAGCACTTCTTTCCAAGGATGAGACTGCCTGATGATTCCAGCAGCAACTCTTACAGCAGAGGTTGGTTTCCTTGCGGTAGGCTATGCTAACCAGGGAAGGAAGACACCGAAGCCCCTGGGCAGCCACGGGAGTGTCAAAGTTCTCTCTGCAGTTGACAGCCTAATTATGGGAGAGCTGCTCAGGGTCTTGGACAGAACATAGGGCTCTTACACTACACACAACCTCAGTAGCTGCTCTTCTGGCCGGCTCCCAGCACCTGCCTGGGAGATGCTCTTGCTGAATGAATGAATGAATGAATGAATGAATGAACACTGTGGGCAAGGGGCTGGGAGCTGCCATGCAGATAGAACAGATGAAGAACAAGTGGAGGAGCCAGATGCAGAGAATGCAGAGGGAGCACTGGATCTTGCTCTGTTAAGTAAGGGTAAGCCCAGCTCGCAGTTGGGCTCCCAGGGAGCTGCCTCTCCATATGTTCAAACATCAGCCTTGGTCCTTAACAGGGCATGTACCCTTTAGCTTTATGGAAAACCCATGGGTAGAAAATGCTTTATTCCCGAAGGAAGCAGGGAGCCCCAGTTCAGAGTTTCTGGGTTTAACTCTTTGGCTATGTTCCTGAGCAAGTTGCCCTAGTGCCTTGAGCCCATTTCTCTGTCTTTAAGGTGGGATTTCACACCACAGGCTTCCCTGTGCATGGGTCAGGTCCAGCGCTGATTGAGAAGCATTCGTTTCCCTACGTGATACTGGAGGTGCTTTGGGGGAACTGGGTCAGGCAGTGGGCCTAGGGCTCAGGGAGTATTGTCCGGAGCATCTAAGCTTCGACAGAATGGATTCCTCAGACAAATGCAGTGGTGAGGGCCAAGATGATGGTGCACGCAGCTTCCTCCAGAGGAGGAAGAGGCAGTGGCACTTCCAGGGAACAGAGTGGCAGAGTAACAACCAGGTATGGCTTTTGTCTCCAGCTCCCCTGTGGGCAAATTACTGAATCTCTGTGCCTGCGTCAGATTGGACAAAATCAAGCTACACACACACACACACACACACACACACACACACACACAGTCTTCCACAGGCATACTGCAGGCACCTGGGAACATTCGTGTCTCCCCTCAGAGACTCACAAGGCTGACTCCAAGCAGGCAAGAGGTCCTGAAACACACAGCTTCTGTGCTCCAGCCTCTTGCCAGGGGTCACGAAAGGTAGCTGGATAGTGGTGTCTTTGTGGGCCAGGGGCATAAGAAGCACAGTGGAGGAAGGGGGAAGTCAGCAGAGCCAGGGAAGAAGGAAAAAGGAAAAGGGAGCTCTGACATGATGCTTTTGTCTGCTGGCAGTAGGCAGGGAAAAACAGTGCGGAAGGCAGTATGGCATATGCGCAGGGGCAGAGCCCGGCTTGACAGTGCTGAGGAGGCCCCAGGCAGGGAGGGACAGGGCGATACTGGCAGATGAGCAAGACATCTTTCCCCCTGGACCATCTGGGCAGTGCCCTGTTGGACCCACCTTGGCATAGTCCAGTTTTCTTCCTCAGAGCCCTTTCTTCTCTGTTTGACCCAACACCACTGCTGCCTCGGCAGTCGGTCAGGGCAAGATGTCTGAACCCACAGACGGGGACACCCAGGCTCAGGGAGACCAAGGGGCTGATTCTGCTCAAGGCTATCGACAGTGAATGGGCAGGTTGGACTCTGGGCCTCACGATTCTTCCAGACTCATCCTTGCTCCTTCCCTCCAGCCTCTGGGTTCTCAGTCTTTGCCATCATTTGGAAAGTTCCAGAGAGCCTCTGTCTGGGATTCCAACAGTGCTCAGGCCCCAGGGCCTGATCCCTGATCCTAGTGCCCTGCTGAACTCCAGCCCCCATTTCCATAGAAACAACAGAAGACAGCATCATCATCTCCATCTCTTTCCACCCCAAGCCATGGCCTCAGGCTATATTTGTCAGGGGGAGACCAGAGGGAGTTGGACATTCAGCTCGGGAAGCTGGCCGCTTGCTCTCATGTAGAGCCCTGGGCTGGACAGGACGGGGTAGGGTGGAGTGGGGCAGGGGCGGGGGCAGGGGTAGGAGCCCAGCCAGAGCAAACATCGCGTGGACCAGCTGGCTGCAAGGTGCTCATACAGCTAGCATGGTGTCTGCCACAGACACTCCGTTTTGGTGGGACTGTTATGCCAGCAAAGAGGGGCCTGTGTGCAACTTCTCAGACCCACACAGGGGAACAGGGGAGGCCTGTGTGCAGTTGACATTTACAGAGAGAGCCAAGCAGGAAGCCGTGACCACAGAATAATTGCAGCTCCCGGGGGTGTGGCCCATGGGATCTGGGGAATCAAGTGACAGAGAGATAAAGGGTATGTCAAGGTTACTCACATCGTGCAGTGGGTAGGCGGCTGAGTACACGCCGTTGGCCAGCAGGCTTGTGATGCCTTAAAAACAGAGGCAGAGAGAGATTATGCACCGGTCAAATCTCCTGTCTTGTATCTGCAAGCCAGAGGAGTTGCAGGGTGGTCCCAATCACTAGGAGTTTTCTCTACTCCAAACGAACCTGGCTACACAGAGCCCGCCACCTTCCTGGGTCCTTCCCCCGGGATGACGCAGCAGGGCGATTTAGCTATCCACTAGGAGATGATAAAAACATGCTCGATTGGCAAGACGAGGAAGACACAGAGGAAACCCCAAGAGGAAATTCCATCCTGGAGGAAGGAGGCGTGGGCAGCCTGCAGCTGAACTCGGCCACCCCCAATCCTCCGATTCACCAGCTACCCCCACCTGCCGGAAGGCAAGTCTGCAGATCGGAAAGGTGGATTTGAAGTGGTTAGAAAAGCTGAATCATGAGAAAATGTACGGATGGGACAATTGATGGTGTCAGAAAACACGCATACAATTTAGAATTAGGTTTTAGGTTGATTGGAAAAGCTGAAGAGGAAGCCCCACACTTACCGTATTTCCCACATTTCCGCCTTTTACTTAGAAGGGCAGAGTCCTTCTTTCTTCCCTCTCCTTGCCCTGTTTATACATCGGCTATTAGTTACATGGAAGGGCCTCAAAGAGTCAAAGCTGCATTGGGGGACAAAGCGCTGGAGGCGAGTGCAGGGCTCCCAGTGGCCCAGGGCTCTGCTTGCTGGCCCAGGGCCTGTGCTGGGCACGTTATAAAAAGAATCAGTTCTGTACCTGCCAGTAGGTACGGCTGCTGTGCCCAGCTCTGCTGGATGGTTCTGGAAGAAGGGAAGGAGAGGCGGGACCAGCACGGCCAGGGCACCTAGGAGTCCACTCTTGTTCCAGCACATCCGGGGCCACCATGATGGATGAGTTTCTCTAAACCTCTGCCTGGCTGAGGCAGCTTTCCAGGTGTTAAGTGTGTTAGATTTTTTACAGCAGCCTGGGAGGCCTTGACACCACCAGAAAAATGACCTCTCGGGACCCCTTAAAAATAGACAATCTCTAGGGTCAGTGACCCGGAATGGCCAGGGATGCTTAGGAATCAAAACCAGAGGAGAGGGGAGCACATGGCTGAAGCCACGTGAGAATGAAAAGCTTATCTGCGCAAAAAGTGGCCATGAGGTGGGAGCCAGGCTCACGGGCCTCCTTGCTCTTCCTAGAATCCTTCTAGGTAGAGCTGCCACAGGGCCCTCGCATGGGCCCTTTCCAGCAGCCTTATCCTTCATTTTCTTTCTTCAAGTCTGTGCAAATGCCCCCTCTCCAGAAAGGCCTTACCTGATCATGCCTCCTGCCAAGCCCCCCTTAGCCTACCAAACCATATTTTGATTAAGTTTATTTAGCACTTGCTTCCTTCCTCTAGAGCATAATCCACGGAGGGCACAGAGCCCCTGGGACACAGCCCAGATGGGGACAGCAGTCCAGCACTCCTTGATGCAAGGTGAATGAATGAACTTAGAGGTCAGTAGAACTCTAGGCTGAGCAGCCAGCATGGAGCAGGGCTGTGGAGAGGGAGTTTTATCCAATTGCTCCATCCCCAGGAGCTGGGAACCAGCCCTGCCAGGAAACTGGTGGGAACAGCATGACCCTGCGCCCCTGGGGAGGACCCAGAGCCGTGTGGATCTACCCACCCCGGATCCTACAGATCTTCACAGCAACTGCACCGGTTTCCATAAAGGGAGCATACAGGGAGACTGAGGCCTGAGAGCCAGCCCTGGGAATCACAAGTCCTCCCCACCTCTGTGGACGTGACTTAGAGAAGCACTTTCAAAATCCAAGCTCCTGGGCTTCCTTCCTTCCCTCTCTGCCCATTCTGGAGGTTCTGGCTCGGTCTGAGGTGGGCCAGACTGATGAGGACAGCTTTCCTGGCTCCCTCCCACCCCTGGGTAGCCTGAGTTTTTGTCGACCCTGGACATGAGTTTAGAGACTTCAGGCTGCAAGCACTTCCCGCTGCTGCCCCTCAGTTGTGTGGTCAGGCTGCAAGCACCCCAGATGAACCCTGGAGGGTTGTCTTCTCCCTGCATCCTGACCGCTCCTCATTGGTCCCTGCACTGAGCTGTGCCTTCCATTGGTGGAGCATTGTCCTCTCCAGGTGGCAGATGGGCCTCCTGTCTGCAGACTGCAGCTCTCCCCAGGTGCTGTCCCATGTCCCCTCCCGGTCTGTGTGTGACAGACACCTCAACCTTCTTTACAGGAGGAGGCAGCCTGAAGCCTGGCTGTAGCCATTAGCCAGGGCGGATCTCATCCAGTTTCTTTAGGGAGGATCCTGTACAGGACTCAAGGAACCTATCAGGAATGGTTTTGTGGCAGCTTCCAGGATTGGGCTATCAGCATATGGGAGAATCTGGTCAGAGGGTGCTGCTTTGAGCAAGCCTTGAGTGGGGGTCCCACTCTACATGGGCTTGGTTGGCTGCTCACTGTGACCTGTACGTGGTCCTCACTGGAGGGTTGCTAGCTCAAAGCATCAAAGTCCCAAAGCGATGCTTGGGCTGTGGCCCCCCAGGAGGACTCTTGGCTCCTTCCCATTGTGAGGGTCAAGAGAGTCCAGCACCCCAGAGTTACCCCCCTTGGGGGACCCTGTCCACAGCTCACAGATATCTCCCACAGAGCAAAGGGCACCTTTGTGTTTAACAGTGCTGGGCCATAAATCTGCCCTGGCCCTGGAATGGTTTTCCTTAGGGCCGCTGGCCCTCCTGTCTGAAATAGTTACAAAGCCTTAAATCAAAACGCTTTTAAGCGCTGCCCACCTCCCACAGAGATGATTCGGAGGCAAGATTACCACTCGGAAACTGCCGCTGATCTCAAGCCCCAAAAATGTCCTTACCCATGCTGTACTTGGCTTTGGTACACGTCGTTCTTTTCAAAATTTCATAGACCTGCAGAGAGACAAGAGGGAGGGGGACGCAGTCATTTGCAGTGCCTCGGGCCCACAGTAGGCATCTTACTGCTCAGACGTGACCCACAGCAGCTACCTGTGCTGTCCCAGGGAGGATGTTTCTTAGGAGAGGGCCATAAGCTTAGGATTCCTGCGGGGTGAAAGGCCTGAGGCTCTTATAAGCCAGCGAGCCTTGCAGTGTCCCATCTGACCCTTCACTTCCCACAGCAGGACAGAGTGCGGCCAGCTGCGCCATAGCTGGGTGGGCGTCCCTTGGCACTGCTCCTGCATGAAGCAGCACAGCTGTCACTCTATCCTGAGCAGAGGGACACTGTCCCCTTCTGCTGAGAGATGAGCAGGAGCAGGAGCCCCTGGGTCCAGCCCAGAGTGTCCCAGAAGCCTGGGGTATAAGGCATGGGCAAGTCTTGGGGTTCTAGGAGCCACAGTGTGGTGGATGACCCTGGGAGAGCCTGCCTAAGGGAATCTCGCTCCACCCCAGGCTCCAAAATGGAACATTATGTCAGTGGCCTCAGGGCTCTCGGTGGCAGGCCATCGACTTCCCCTGGGCGCCAGCTCTATCGCTATGATTGTGGATAAGCTGCATTGCCCACTGTGCCTTAGTGTCACCATCTGCAGAATAGGATGTGACTAGCCATCCCCAAGTCACAGACACACTACAGGGCACGCAGCTCCCGGTGGAGGCCTCTGCTGCTCCTGCACCCTGGGCAGAGCTGGCATCCTGCTCGTGGCCACCAGGTCCTGCCAGCCTCTGTCTTGTCCTTGTCCCTCTGCCCCACTGTGAGTGAGTGACCCCAGCCTCTTCTCTCTCTCTCCAAGCCTTCTTCTGCAGTCTCAGGGTCTCTGCGCCGGCTGTTCCTTCTGTCGGAACCACTTGTCCCCTCCAGATCTACCTGGCTCTGCACCACAGTAACCACCAGGCCAGGGAACAGCCCCGTGCCTGTCCACCACTGTCTCTGACCTTTATCCCTGTTACCACCTGTCCTCTCCTTGCCCACTGGTCTTGGGCACACAGCTGGTGCTCAGTAACTGCTTCCTGGTGAAGCAATGAGCTACTCACTCCATTACTCTGACCCTCCCAATTTAACTGGTTGTCCTGTCCTGCTCCGATTCTCCTGTAACCCTTACCTTGTCCCTTTATGCACACGTGGTCCCCACTTGTGACCACCACTGTTACTTCATCTCTGCCTTTTGCTTGCTCCTTCTCAGCCTGTTCCCAAAGTGATGATTTCAAATCAGATCTGACCACATCCAAAACCTGACTCCAAAACCTTGTGCAGCTCCCTAGTGTCTATGGACCAAGCATTTAAAACCCAAGACCGGCACACTGGGCCTTACTGTTGTGTACTGCACAACCCCAATGCTAGGAGTGGAGTAGCCTGTGATGGCACCCCATCTGGGCCAACAATGGTCTCACCCCGACTCTGGACGTCACCTGTTTCGAACGCCATCGGGCCTGGCTACACAAGGGCTAAACTTTCCCCCACCAACATTCCTCTGGAGCACAGGGACAGTCAGCGAAAGTGCCCCCCTCCCAGGTAAATAGAGTTATGGGTCTTTCAGTGAATGTCTATAAGTCTGGGCAGAATCCATTTCTCTGACTCGGTGTTCGCAACGGTTGCTATCAGCTGTGGACCAAATTCAATTTCAGAGTAGATTTCCAGAAAGACGGCATCAGGATGGCGCATCTGCTCACGTTCCCCACACCTCGGTCATCCCCCGCAGCAAGAGCAAATTCCAGATGTGCGCCCTGCCCTGGGAGCGCCCTACCAGCCCCAGAACAGGTGGGAAGTCGCGCTGCCCTACGCACTGAAACCCAGGCGAGTGACTCGGGTTGCACAGTTGGCTACCCAGCTCTCTCATGTCGCAACGACACAGGAGGAGGCACAGTTCAGGTTAACACTGTTGCTCTCCCAAGTGGCCAACATCTGGGGGTGCGGAGGCTCCTGTGAACACGTTAGCTCCAAGCTCAACTATTTTGCCTGAGTTCCTTGTTGCTTATTATCATGTAATCTAATCACTAAAATTAGTTACACCATTAATAATAATAATAATAATAATAATAATAATAATAATACCCCACAGCAATGACTTGGTACCTGGCATGAGCCTATGTGACTAAGTCAATGGAGGTATACAGATGCCTTTTGGGGGGAGCCAGCTAGAATTGTCCTTGTCCTGATACGGGCTGGGGGACTGTCCTGAGGTCATTAGGATGGAAGGGGCAAAGGGTGAATGGGACCTGCCTGTCCTAACAGCTGCTGGTGTCCCTGAGGCCATGGAACCCTGTACCATCACCCTGAAGCTGGCCACCGGCCAGTCTTGGGATGGAGGTGGTGAGGGGCATTATCTGCATTGGGACGACCTCCTCTGAGCCCTGCACAGCTGCCCGGCCAGGCGGCACATTCTGGGCAGGCGGAGAGAATGACAGCGTGGCTTGGCTGCCAGCTTAATTTCTTGTTTAGATAGAAATTGGGTCCTGCGCCACGCACAGCCTGGCTTGGCTGGTGATCAAGTTGGCAGCTGATGGATAAACATTAAGTCAGTACCTTGAATAGGGCAGGGTAGCCTGGTCAGATTTCCAACCTCGGTTTGCTCATCTGGAAAAGGCCTAGAAATAGACCCCCCTCACCCAGCACCTCTGCCTGCACTGCCTGGCCCTCACGCCATGCCTGCTTGCTCAGAAACCTGGCTGCAGATCCACATGGATGCCCACACAGTCTCCTCTGGGAGACAGTATGACATGTGCGGGACCCCCAAGAACGTGGCACAAGGCTACAGTTGCTGGAAGGTGGTACCGTGTTGCTCCCCTCCTCCTGGCCTTCCTGTGGCTTTGTTCTTTCTCACACTCCTCCTCTGAGCTGGCCAGGGCCTTGGCTGTCCCCTGGGCTGCTGGCTGCCCTCTCGTTTCATTATTCTAATTATTTCTGTCGCAGACAATTAGAGCCAGCTTCCACCCGGAGGAGTCTAACCAAAATGAAATTATCCTCCTTGTCCCTGGAGCCGCCCTGCTTGCTGGTGAGGTGATTCCGACTGTGATACTTACTATTGTGCTCCGAGTCTTGCTGTCGAAAAAGGAATCCTTATCGGACAGGTCGAATCTGTTGAAACACGGGGGTCAAGAAAGGCTGTTCACTGGACGCAGTTCTCTGGAGTTCCAGGCCCTGAGCAGTCGCCCTGTCCCCATCAGCAGGCAGTGTGCATGGATAGAACTGTGTCCACATGCCAGGTGCGACCTACCCATCCCCAGGCGGGGGGAACAGTCTGTGTCACTAGTCCCCACATCTGGCAGAGCTGAGACCCATGGTCGTAGGAAGAGACACAAGGGTACCCTCCCTGATGACATTCTCAACAGGCTGCTTTTAGAGTTGGGGACAGGGACAGGACCACTCTACTGTGACACAGTACCAATTCTGACAATGATTTTTCTGGAACTGGCCACTGGTTTGAGTCCTGATGTTTGGTTTGGGTGGTGCAGAAGTTGTCTGAGGTTTCCTGAGGGCAGAGGGAAATCTCCAGAAAAGCCACTTAGTCTAAAACATTAGGAGAGGTAGAGAGGTGGAGAGGTGCAGGGTGGCTGGGGCCTGGCCAAGCCGAGAGGTGGGGTGGGCTGGGCTGTGAAGGTCCAGGCCAAAGGCCCAGCTCTCTACTGTCTGGGCCTCTGTTCTAGATAGAGCTGGTGGCAGGGGGTCACTTCCTTTTCCTAACACATCCACTAAACTCAGGACTGGCCATGTGGCAAGTTAAGCACTGGGCTCCCTGGCAACCCCTGTACCTGTAGGGCAGATGCCCCAGTTGTAAAGTGAGGCAACTGTGTGAGCTTCTGGCCCTCTCTCGCCCATGAGGCGGGTGGTGTCCAGGGGCCTGTCCACCCCTGACTCCCCCAGTTGCCTCTGCCTACACTCCAGCTTTTCTCAGCAAGACCCAAGGATAGTGTGTGACCCAGGTGGCTACGCCCCACTGCCCCGTGGGAGCAAGGGAGGGTGGAGGGTTCCAGAGCAGGGTTGGCACTGCCAAGCAACGCCACTGCTAGCTGTGGGTCCCTGGGGCTCAGGAGGCCCTGTGGGGACAGTTTTCAATTGCACCTCCCTGAGCTGCTTGGCTGGCAGCTGCCCAGGCTACAGAAGGTGTGGCTGTCGACCAACCCCATAGGGGATAGAGCTGGGCAGGAGGGATCCCAAGATGCCTGCCCATGTGGCTCTTCCTAGGTGTCACTAAGCTGGACAAGATGGCCTCTCTAATTCTTCAGTTATTGGTGACCTTAGAGTCATCCTATGACTCTCCTGGGTACAACCATAAAGCTTTCACTTTACCCACAAGGGGCCAAAGTCTCCTCTTTTTGTGGGGGAGGGAGGATAGAGAACTGCCCACATGGATTTTCTGCTGGAGGCTGGAAACCAGAGAGTGATATCTGTGGGCAGTGGGGGCCCACTTACAGGTGCTGCTTCTCCCGAGAGAACGGGTAGTAGAGCCTCTTCGTGGTCTGCGGCCTGTGCTCAGCCACCCTGGGCTGGATGGGGTCTGTGATCTTCTGCAGCACTGAGTTGATGGTTTTCAGGAGGCCTCGGGTCTCACTAATGTGATACATCTGCAGGTGAGACCCAAGCAGGGATCCGCATCACTCTTCTGAGCCCTGGCCATGGGGGCCATTCCTGGAAGGTCAGAGAGCACCCACCTCCCCGCAGGGCTCCTGGTGGCCAGGATGCCCCCTCCCTGCTCAGATTTTGAGTTGATCCAGAAAGTTCAGCCTTTGGGGAAAGTCCAGCCAAGAGCTCAATTACCATACATTCCACAAAACTTTCCCCCAGATTTTACTGTTGTTTCTAAGGAGAAGCCCAGGGCCAACGCGTCGAGGCGCCTGGCCTCAGCCCTCCACAAGTAAACGTGGAAGCTAAGCTCCGTTCCATCGTCAGATTCTCCTCGGCCATAAAGTTTTCAGAGATTGAAAGGAAAAATCCCAGCAAGCTAGGAAATGTAAATTAGATTGAATCTGATAAATGAGCCAAGACCCCACAAGCATAAAAGCACCAGAGCTCAAAGTTTAACTGGATCGGTATTTATCATCAATTCCGGTGGCCCAGCGCTCAGGCCTTCTCCTGGTAGGACTTGGTGGGAATGTCAAGGCCACCAAAGACTGGGTCACAGTCTCCACGATGGGGATGGAGGAGCCAGGGGAAGCTCACTGCATCTGCCCCCCACCACCGCCCTTCCTGGGGTGGCCATAAAGCCCACAGGATTCTTCACAGGAGATCAGAGCTTCAAGTCAATGACATTTCTTCAGCCAAGTGAGGCATTCAGACCTGGCAATGTATTTTTTAAAATTAATTTTTATGTATTTATTTAGTACAGGGTCTCCATATATAGCTTGGACTCATAGTGATCTTCCTGTCTCAGCCTCCCCAGTGCTGGGATTAAGAGGTATGTGCCTCTATACCTGGTTTTAGGGCAGGCACGGAGCAACTGGGGTTTTGGGGCCACCATGGCATGCGGTACCAGAGATTGACCTTGGGTCCTTATGCTTGCTAGGCAGGCACTTAGACTGCCAAGCTATCTCCCCAGCTCTTGTATTTTATAATAGCAATGTCACCACTAACCTTCTTAGTTGGCATCTTCAGTTTCAGAAACTCAGCCTCTCTGCAGAGCACATGCCAGGGGGCATGGATTTTCACAAACCCAACCCCATGGATTTTAGTCTAGAAGAGAAGAGTCCCTGGTCAGAGTGGGCCGTGTGCGTGGAGAACCGTCTTCACCTTTTCGGAGGCGCACTGGTCTACAGAGCGGCAGCTGTGTGTGGCCACGCTGCCAGTCCCTAACCACCCCACCCTGACTATACTCTGAGTGTGGCTGGGTCTCCTTCTTGCAGATGGCAGGAAAGGAGGGGACTCCCCCAAGTCACATGGGGACACTGAAAGCCAGGAGGGCCTAGAGAGGTATCGAGGGGCACAGATCCCCCCCAAGCATCTGGGGAGTTTTCAGGGGATTAATCAAGGGCCCCAAAGCAGCCTAGGACCCCAAAGAGAACCCTTCATAGCACAGCCCAGGCTCCTTGGCCTCGGCCTGGGTTCCCAAGCTGGGATGAAGAAGTGATGGCTGTCCTCCCTCCTGAGTTCCCTTCATCGGCACACTCCACATGCAGGAGTGGCAGCCTGGGGCTGGGACTTAAGAGTGGGCACAGGTTCAAGTCTGGCTTCCAGACCAAGCTGCTGTGAGCTCAGACAAGCCACCTCTCCATTCCAGCATCAGTAACAAACCAGCTAAGGCTCACTGAGTGCTGAGTGGTGAGGACAGGGCTTCATGAGGTCTGGCTATTGTGGCTTTCATCCCAGACTGAAGAAGGACAGCACTGCTCATGCCCCCTCTACAGATGGAAACACTGAGGCCTGAGAGGAGGTCACCCACCCCAGCCTAGTGCTTCACAGCTTGCAGGGTGCACATAGCTCCCCCAAGGCTGCGCTCTCTCTAGGGTCACATTTTCCACTAGGGGTGAGGCCAAAATGTTTTTGGCTCCCCTGGATCTGGCATCAGACACAGGACCTTTATCAAGGGCGCAGAATCTATGAAGCCACAACACACCTGCCATGCACACGTGAGCCCCGCCAGACCTCCTGCACCCGAGACTCTCAGCTGCCACATGGCATCACTGGCATCAAAACCAAGACCAGCAAGGAATATGAGGGACCCTGAGTCAGAGCTGCTCATGGGCAGTGGGTCCTTGGTCCCCTGTGGCTTGAAGGGAAGGGGAGACTGGAGCCCCAGCCTGAGCTCTCTCTCACCCCTCCTTCTCTGGGACCTGCAGGGGACTGGCTCACTGGCACAGGCTACAAGACCATTAGCTGGGACCCAGAACTGGTTGTGGTCTGGGCCACCTCATGTCAACAGGCCGAGGAGTGGCACAATGCACAGGGACCTGGAGGCTGCTGGCCAAATTCAACAGAGCTAAAGATACTTGGGGGACTTTTAAGAAACAAAATCTCAAGAGAGTAACGGGTTTACCCACTGAGCACTGAAGCCATGGCAGCACTGTCCCCTGGGCGCAGGCCATGCCAGCTAGGAAGAACTGCTGGGCTGGCTGCCTTTGGGGCCACTCAGTAAGGAGCAGGACCTCCTTGATGTCCCAAGTCCACCTCCTGCTCCTCTTGTCCCCTCCCCCAGAGGCCCCTGCCATAGGTTACCTGTGTTGGCCTGAAGCCCAACCTCCCCCCTGCAGTCCCCAGACCCGCTTCATCACCAACAGCACTAGACCAGTTCTTCAACTTGTTCTGCATGGGTATTCTTGCCTGCTGCCCCAATGCCTGCAGGTCCCAGACAGCAGGTGCTCCACATGTGTGGCCAAATGAATAAAGGGCAGCCATGACGGTGAGGATGACAGTAACGGAGGCTGACGTCCACCTGCAGCTTCTCCCCTGCCAGACCCTGCTGGTATGCCTTGGATACGTGTCATCCCACTGGATCCTCACAATAAGCCTGAGAGGTAGGTCCTAGCCCTGTGCTCACAGCTGGGGAAACTGACGCACAGAGACACCTACTAGGCAAACTCTTGTGTTAGTGTTCTGAAGCTGCAATAACCAATTACATAGCAAGAAGGCTTTTAAACCATAGGGTGTATTCTCAGTCATGGAGGTTAGCAGGCTGAAATGCAGGTGTGGTCAGTGTCATACTCTCCCCCGGTATTCTGCTAGCTCCTGGGGACTCCTAGTGTTTCTAGGCTCACAGCTGTGTCTCTCCAACCTGTCTGTCCTCACCCGGCCTCCTCTCCTCTGGGAGTCCCTGTGTGTTTTTCTCTCTCCTACTGGATTTAATGCTTATCCTAAATCCAGGATGATTTCACCCCAAAATGCTTAACCTGATCCAACTGCTGAGACTCTCTTTCCAAATAAGGCCACACTTGCACACTGCACTGAGGAAGCCACAAGATAGAGTCTGGCGGGAATTTGTTTGAGGACCTCTGGGCATTTGGGGAGCTTCGCAGAAGCATGGGAGGTCTGCTATCTGCAGGGGACAGCAGGACAGCAGGACCAGGGCACTCTGGGCATGAGACTCATAGGACACAACATGGGGTACCCCTGAGCCTGGAGCAGGGGAATGGGCTCCCTCTGGGAGCTGATACATGTCCACAGGAGCTCCTATTGTGGGCTTATGTGAAGGAAGCCCAGAACCCTTGAGACCTTTGAGGTAGTGGGCAGCCTGCATCAGAATCCTGCCTGCCTTTGTGAGGTCTCTGGCAAGTGACTTAAGTCTCTCTGTGGCTCTGTTTCCTCATCTGTAAAAAAGAGAGGGGCCTCTGTTGCTCTCAGTAGCCTGGCCCAATCCTCTGGCTGGCTGGAGGTCAGGTCTATGAGAGGTGAGCTCAGAGTGGGCTCCCCCTGCACTGGGAGAGCTGGGACCTCACCTGCACTCACCAGGGAGGGTTCCCCAGCCCTGGTGACTCACAGGCTGACATCACAGGACATCCCTGAGTCAGAAGGGATGGCCGTCCCCAGCCCACGTGTGGTAGAGCCTGTCTTTTCCTGCTACCAACCCAGATTTATTTCTGGGCACTGTTCATCCACATGCAAAGACTCAAAATACACTCTTCCAAGTCCATGGAGACATCTTTGGTTGGTCAGGAGCCGGAGCGTACTGCTGGCCTCCTGGGAAAATGTGTGCCCCTGATTACGTGAGTCTCTCCTGGGGAAACATCTGGTGCGATTTGGGAAAGAGGTCATGAGACCAGTTCAGCAGAAACATATGTTAGCTGTTTTAGAACATGGTGCCCAGCCTGACCACAGCTCACGGCAATAGGAAGCATCTGAGAGGAGAAAGTCCTGTCCTGTTCAGGTCCCTTGTGCTGGGGATATTTGGAGAACCAGCGGAGCTAAGTCCCAGCCATGGGTATGAAGAAGAAACAAGCTGGCCAGGCCACCAACTCTGCAAGGGGACAGGGATATGTCCAAGCCAGAGGAGGTGGGAGTGGAAAGGCCAGGGACATCACTTCTGCAGAGAGCATAAAGTGCTCTAATTAAATGTCTCCTCTGAGCCCTAGGCAAGAGACCTCTGATCTTTCTAGGACTGTTTCTAGCACTATGGTCTCAGAAGAAAATCATAAAAACGATGATGGTCGCCATGGAGGGCTTACGGTGGCCAGGGCTGAAAGGGCTCTTTTATGCCCTTCCTGCCTTCCAGGCTGCATGTCCATCATGGTAGTGGCCCCTGGACACGGCTATGGTCCCCTTGACGGCTTGGCCTGCTTCAATGTGAACATGAGCTGGGAAAGGTCTGTCTGCCCACTCGTGTGCTTAGCACAGAGGACAGAACCTGGCACAGAGCAGGAGCTGCATGGTATTTACTGAGCAAGTGACAGAGGAAGAAGGAGGAGCCATCTTTACTGAGTGGCAGCTGTGCGACAGCTGGGGCCGCCCAGCATTCACGCCCTCCTCCCACCTTCTCCTGGACCCTGGTCATCCACTTCAGAAGACATGGATGAAAGCCTAGAAACAGCTGGCCCAGGAGCATCAGCAGTGGGTGTGGCCTGGGACCGTCACCAGTCACGGTTCCCAGAGGGTGTGGCTGGGGCCTACAGGACAGTGGGTGCACTCCATCACTGTGTCTGCGTAGGGCAGCATCATATGTTGCCTGGCATTTTCTGGGTCTTCCTTACTGTGTGTCATGTCTATACCATGTGGGGATTGGGGACTGGCTCCAAACTGTGCAGGCACAGGCAGAGCCATACAGGGCATTAGGACACCTGCACTGGGGCAAAGTCAAGTTCCTTCAGGTCTTCTTGGCCCTATCTCTAGATGAGTCTCAGGAGACCTGGGAACCCAATGGATCAGGCACAGTTGCCAAGAATGTGCCAAGGCCAGGCTGTGGACACGTTATCCCTAGCCTTGGGCCTGAGCGTGGCACAAGGCCCACTGGAGGATGGTTGTGGTTGCAATGACTGGTACGTGAGACGTGAGGTCTCTTTGCACTGTTGCTCTGGTGAAAGCAGGCAGGTTGTCCAGGGCAACCCTCCCATGGAAAACAGTAAAAAATACTGGACAAAAAATTTTTAAAAAGGAACGGCTGCCAAGGTGCTGCAAAACTGCGAAAGGAGCAGGAAACTGCCAGGGCCTGTAGTGGAGAAAACCTTGACCCAGAGTACAGATTGAAACTACATTTCCCAGAGGCCACTTGGGCTGGCAATGGTGGCTTGCAGAGAAGGGTATCAGTGCAGGCCCATCCTCAGTGGGGTGGGACGTGAGACCTTTCCACATGGGGCTTGGCAGGTGCTGCAGAACTGCAGTTCTGAGAGGATGCTTGCATCTGACCCACCAGGGGACAGCTGTCCACTAACCTCAGAGCTTCAGGGAGGCTGAGCTGGTATGATTGGCGTCAGCCCTCTGCAAGCCTTAGACAAGGCAGGGAATGGAGAACCCACCAGCCCCCTTCCCACCCCCACCTCTAGGAAGAGTGATTTTTGCTGGTATTTGTCTGGAATGGCAGGAGTAACCCAGTAAAGGAGTGACACTTCAGCGTGACTGGCCAGGGTGGCTTTCATCCATAGCCTACTAGCCTTTCTGGACATGGAAACCTTCTCCCAGGCCTCGGGAACCCTCAGTGACTCACAGACCAGAGCAGATGAGAGACAGTGGGAAGGAGAAGGAGCAGCGCATGAGATGCAGGTGTGTTTAGTGGGGATCACAGGCGTTTGAAGGGGATCTACCAGCCCTGC